TTAAACTGCTGGAACTTTGCACTGCACAGCACAAGTCAGCAATTTATTGGGAAATGAATCTGACAAAATAAAAGGTGAGTGAACTGTGACTTCCAGAAACCAAACAATGTGAACTAAAAACATACCTAAAATAATGTACACATAAAAAGATTGTAGTATAACGTGCAACTTGGATACTGATTATTTCTATTTGCTTCCCATCTATTAGGACGATGGATACACATCTGATCTTCCTCATTTCAGCAGTACAATAATTTTCACCACCAATGTAGAAGACAATTTCTTGGAATAAATAGATATTGTGTCACTAGGTTGATGCCACTAAATATTTCTGTTTGCATGAAGAGTGTCATTAATGTGGTAATGATGGCATCATGGCATTAGAAGCCCAGCTTCTCGGAGGCAAGAATAATGAATGAAACAGTACATTAAAATCAAATTAATTGTAATTAAAACAAAATTACTCTAAGTCCAAATTTAGCTGTCCAAAAGATTGACTCTGTAAAACAAATTTATGAGATTATTTTGCTTTAAGATCACAATTATGAGGTGAAAACTATAAAATAAAACATTTTGAATGACTTTGTCTTGTGTTGAAAATGGGCTTTCATACAATAAAATGGGGGCAGACTGATTCCAATAAGGTAACGTTTACAGTTTCAGTCAGTGGGGTCACTAAGGGTTAAATGGAGTAAAGGTTTTCAGTCATAGGGGAAACATCCCAAGTTAAGGGCCAGGAAGCTTGATGCTTAATTAGTTTTTACAGTGAACCTGTTCTCCACTCAGCCCATGTCTGATCCCAGGCGGCCCTCGTCAAGTCCTGCTCACACTCATCCGCCTTCACTGATTTCCAGTGAGCGACGCCGGTGGACCTGAGCCCACTGGACGAGCTGTAGAGCGCCTGGCCCGCAGCTTCTACTGGGGGAGTACGGGTGGAATTGGTTTATACACACGCGCGCGCGCGCACCCCTTCACTCTTTCACTGCACTGCCCTTCTGTTCTGCTGGAGAGATAACACACGCACGAGCACATACAACATGTACATGTACATGCACGCGCAACCACACACTCAAAGGGAAAAGCCATGTCCTCGGTTTTCCCACCGCCGACAACAAAGACAATCAGACACAAACGGTCATTAGTAATCTAGTAATCTTAAAGAAGATCAAATCTGTAGCTGTGTGAGTCCCAATGGTGGCTAGAGCTAATTACACTAAACCAAACACACACACACATTGAATCAGATTTTCTAATTGAAAAAATTCAATTTGCATATTCAGAGAAGGCCCATCAGCCTGTGGAAGGAGGCTAAGAGGAGTTAAATTCTAAGAGGAGTTAAATTCTAAGAGGAGTTAACGAATTCAACCAGAAAACTCTGACCGGAGTCCACATTTAAAAGTGAACCCTCATTTCATCTTGTATTTTTATTGTAGTTATTTTTATCCACATTTAAAAGTGAACCCTCATTTCATCTTGTATTTTTATTGTAGTTATTTTTATCCACATTTAAAAGTGAACCCTCATTTCATCTTGTATTTTTATTGTAGTTATTTTTATCCACATTTAAAAGTGAACCCTCATTTCATCTTGTATTTTTATTGTAGTTATTTTTATAGAACAACGTTTCATTTTGAAACTCACACTGAACCAAACCTTCGCGGACTCCGTTTGATTTCAAGAACTAATCGCCCTAAACAAGTGGCTACTAAGCCCAGGCAAAAAATATGTATAGTGTGAGCGCGCGCGTGCGTAAAAGAAGGCGAGGTGGCTAAAATCCAACACGCGCACTGTGCTGTCTCGGTGTTGCGCTTGCTTCCCATCACACTTGCGCGCGCCTCTCTCTCTCAGAGCTCTCCTTGAAAGTGGGCTCGAGACAAGAGTTGTTGTTCTTTCAGCCTCGTGGAGCCACGCTCCGAGCATCATCACCGCCATGCCGCGAGGATTCCTGGTGAAGAGAAGCCGGCGATGCCCGGCGTCATACCGGTCACGAAGTGCCAGTAACAACAGACCTGTTACAGGTCAGCGTTACAGCGTTACACATGACGCTCACAGGAACAAGAGCGGCGGCCATGAAGCGACAGAACCGGGGGCGGCGAATGAGAAAGAGGTGTCCAGTGCCTTTCCGTTTGAACAGTCAGTCAGACAATCCCCGGTGTCCCGCGCAGACTCCGCCGGTGTCAGAGAGGCGTGGAGCCCGCACGTGGAGTCCGCGCTGGAAGCGGAAGCGGACCGGCGCGCACAGTTACCAGAAACTGAGGAGCGGGTGAGCGAAGTGGACGTTTTGACTCCCGATGGTGATTACTCCTGCTTTATTCCACCTCCTCCACCTCCACGCGACTTGACATTAACAGAGGCTTGCAGCCCCGTTAAACCGGTCGGCACCAGAGTACCTGAGCAGCAGGAAGACAGAGAGAAGCAACCGCTGTTCCCAAGCAGGTGCCCAGCATCATCTCCGCTCCCGGAGTTACCTGAACTGCCGTTCCTGGTGACCACCACGCCGGCCTCAGTGTCAGCTTCCATCGAGAGGCTCCTCGCCAACAGCACCCACCACCACGCGCAGTCCTACGGGCACAATGACAAATATGACCCGAGTATGACTAGTATGCACTTGTTCCCTCCACTGACACCGATGAACCAGGAGCAGCATCACGCAGCGCGAAAAAGCTTATTTCTTGAACCGGATCAGCGCATGAACAGTAACAAGCACTACAAACCATCAGCGGGAAACACCTTAAAGAAACCCAAAGTGAACCGGAAACTTAACTTCGAGGACGAGGTCACGACCTCGCCGGTTTTGGGTCTGCGGATCAAGAAAGAGAGTCCCGAGCTGAGAAGACAGCGGGAGAAGTCATGTGCACCTACTGGGAACCAGCCGCTGGGGGAGTTCATTTGCCAACTTTGTAAGGAGGAGTACCCCGATCCTTTCTCCCTCGCACAGCACAAGTGCTCCCGCATAGTGCGCGTGGAGTACCGGTGTCCCGAGTGCGACAAAGTCTTCAGCTGTCCCGCGAACTTGGCCTCTCATCGCCGTTGGCACAAACCGCGTCCAGTAAACAACCAAAGAGGAGAGACAAACAAGAGTCAGGCGTTAAAAGAGGCAGGAGGGCTCGTTCAGCACGAGAGACAGCCAATGGAGATGGAGGGCAAAGAGAACGAGCTCCTGCGCGTCAACTCCAAGCAGCACCACGGAGCGCTGGACAGCTCCCACATCAGGCGCGAGCCGTCCGCACTGATGCTCCACGGTCCGTCCCAGGACAGCCCAGACAGCGACAGCCTCGCGCCTCCTCACTATAACCCTCATTACCGGAACCCAGCGGAGAGCTGTCTGGACCTGCAGCAACAGGTGAGAGCTGCGGACAGCCCGCTGTCAAAGCTTCTTCTAGTAAACAGTAACCCAGACGAGCGCGCCGACCTGCCGCAGCAGCAACCACCCCCATCTCTTCCGCATCCACCTTTGTCGTTCCTCCAGTCCCTCCCGGAGGAGGAAGTGTACGAGTGCCGGCACTGCGGGAAGCAATTCCGGCGACAGGCTTACCTGAAGAAACACCTGGCCGCGCACGAGATGCCAGCACGAGCGTCTCCGCCCCCATCATCTTATGGCCAGGCGCGCGAGACCAGTGGCGGTCAGAGCCAGGTGTTTCTATGTCACCTGTGCGGTGCACGCTTCCCGTCGATCGAAATCAGGGACAAGCACCGTCTATGGCACGCGATGAGGGACGAGTTACTGGCTGGAACTCTGGGTGCGGGACTCAGACCAGACATGTATCAGGCGCACAGAGAAGAGAACGGAACCGGGGAATGCGACCAGCAGATCTTCACCTGCAAGCACTGCCCGTCCACATTCTTCAGCTCCCCGGGGCTCACGAGACACATCAACAAGACTCATCCCACCGAGAACCGCCAGCTGATGCTGCTGCAGATGACGGTGCGACCGTAACAGGCGTCCCAGACACGGACACAGGAGCCATCAGATTATATGAAGAAATGACAAGTGACTATCAGTCGGGGAAACTATGAACTGCTAACTAGTAGCCTGGCTGTTTTCATTCACACTGCAGAATAAGTTCTGTTGTAAATTTGGACTGAAGCCTGTTCATGTCAGCTGTGGTCAGAAAGCAAGAAGTTTACACTATGTGTTACAACTATGTGTTACAACTATGTGTTACAAGGCTACGGCTGAGTCACTGTATTGACATACGGACTCTTGAATGAAGCAGACGTTGTCCCCGGAAGTGAAAGCGACATGATTCTCTCTCTCTCACACAAAGTGAACAAACCAGAACTGTCCATGGTACTGAAAGCTAAAACACTGAGCGTCTCCACTCACTCCAACGTCTCTAAACCAGGTTTCTGTTCCACCATGAGTGAAGCTATGATTCTCTTCTAACAGAAACGGGACTTGTTTTTATTCATTGAACAGGTAACAGACCTAAGATATCCCAGAAACGATCTAACAATAGGATTATTATAGACACTTTAAACTGGAAGCAAAGTGACCCTTACTCAGACGTTGTTTTTGTTGAAACATATATAAATTTGTACTTACAATGCATAGTTATACAATTGCTTGATATTTCTGTTCTCATATAGAGAATATATATTGTAATGTATATCACATCTTCTCTTAAAACATCCATGCTGTAAATGACTTGATATTGAAACCCAGTAACTCACCTGTGACAGTAAAACCTAAGAGAATGAAGCTGGACAGAAAGGAACATTTTTGATTATTAATTTTACATTTACTGAAGCAAAGAATGAGAATTGTCTTTAAATATGGTCAACATTTAAACTCATAATGATCCTATTTTTGTGGTAATCCATTGGCACTGATGTGGGTTACAGCACTGATTCATGTTTTATCTGAGGCAGACCAGACCGATAACCACGTTTAGGAAGTGACCTTCTTTAACTTGAACGCTGGAGACAGAACCCACGTCATAGCTCTGTTTAAAAGACAGTCATGTACAGTGAACAATATATAAAACAAGAAGAAAACAGTAAAATGCCTTTTATAGTAAATGTACTAGTTAACTTAGCTATAAAATATTTTCATACAGAAATGGAACATTTAATGTTAGTACCATGAGTAAAGTGTCTTTTGTCTTTATTGGTTATAAATCAGTTGAAATACGTACTAAATGCCTTCATGATGCTAAAAATGTCATTCTGGTTCTCTGACGCCTATACAGTACTATTTTGATATGTTTAAAGTTGAATGTGAAAGTCATTCTAAATTACTGTCACTAAATGGTAATAAAGTATGATCAGTTATCAGTCCTGCATTGTTACATTAATACCGTTTTAACGCTGAAGCACACACATGCAAACACACATCCAGTGTATGAAATCGGTTCAGGATGGATACGAAGCATTGTCAGAGTCCAGCACTGCACATCCACTCTGTGTCTGAAACAGGTTCACAAAACCACAAGATTTGACAGTAACATAGTTTGAGGAGTGCATGTGTGTGTGTGTGTGTGTGTGTGTTGTGGAATAAATGTAACGTGGTCAGCACATGCTACTAGTACTGAACTGATGTCATGCAGTATGTACAGTCAGTAGTTAGATCAGCAACTGGACAACACTGAACCCGTCTCCATCCACACAGGCACAGAAGTTGCACATTTTTATTCAAGCTGGATTATTGGTAACATATGCTGATGCTATGGCTGATTTTGTCCCCCCCCCCAAAAAAAAAAAAAAAAAAAAAAAGTCCATCTAACAACCCCCCAGGCAAAGAGCCCCTCAGGGTAGCTGTGTGTAGCCACTGGTATTTTAATCCCAAGAATATGAAGGAGTGTAAAAACGGCACTGGCCTGTCCTTTAGGTTCTGGGACAAAGTTTGGGCTGTTGCTATGTGAACACGTTCAGGTTTTCAAAGGATGTAATCAAACAAACTGTGACAGCTCAACTGAATGGCAGGTGTGCTGTAGTCTGTATAGAGCATGTTCAGATCAGCCCAGAATGCAGTGGGGCGAGTAGACCACATGTCAACCAACCAATGATGCTTCAACCTCAGCAATAATAATAATAATACATGTAACAGCAATTATTTAAAGGGTTAACTCAAACCTCAGCTGACTTCAAAGATCAATACACTAACATGAAGTTGACCTACTTTTACAGTGGCACATCCCAACTCTATGGAGGGGTAAAAAAATAAATTCACATTCCCTTTCTCGTTTACAGTGACTCAAAAGAACAAACAAACAAACAAACAAAAACCCAGCTGTGAATACAATTACAGCATTTCAAGCAGTGAAGTATAATGACAACCTGTTTTATACACATGTTTCTTTAGGCCATGAAAAAAAAGGGCAAACAATCCAACATATAAGATGAGAGAATACTAGAGACATGACATTTAGAAAGGGGAACCTTGAAGTTCTTGAACAAATGAGTCTAGTGTGACTCCTCGTCAGTTTGATCTGAGCTGAGCTGAACTAATGGAGTGCTGAATATTAAACACGTGTACACCACAGTGCTAAAGTTTCATTTTCTGCATTGTGATTAGGCTACATGCCGACTCCCTCCATCCAGAATTAGAACAGGGGACAAGTCTAAATAAGGAATGACATAACATTAAACAAAAGACATTCACATCTATGTGGGGACAGGTCAACATCTCTCCTTTCTCTTCCTCTTTGGCCTTGGAGCTCCATCTCTTTTGTACGCTTTGTTTTTCCTCCTTCCGTCTCCACTAAGGTGGTGAAAATGAATCACTGGCAACAGCGCCATATTTTAATTTGCCTCAAAAGACACTGGGCCTCCTTCAGCTAAATGTCAAACAATGAAATATGTGGAAAACCTGAACTTCTCCAGTTGGGCTGTGGTGCCAAGGCTGTGGTATATCAACAGCAAGAAGTATTTGAGCAAAAAAGAAATATTTCAATTCCTTAAGAAAAAAATGTATATTGGTTGTGAATAAAGAAGCAGCAAAGCATAAAATCCTGTAGTGTCAACCAGTTTTTAACAGATATGTGGTCTGAGGACCATGGTTTAGTTTTGGCAGCTAGTCTCACAGAACAGTATATACACAGGAAGCCTCCTCTCACTGTACACATTCTTATAGTTACTCACTTATCTACTATATATATATATATTTATACAGATACATATATTGATACACAGACAAAGGAACACTGACACAAAAGCTGTTCTATTGCATCAGATGACAGAAGGACTAAAATACAGCAACATTTTACAGTCTTAAAAAATGAATGAATAATAAAAAAAAGAAAACAGGCACAATAAACATCAGTGCTTGTCCACAGTTTATAGAATGAGCAAAACAAAAACTTTATGTAACAAGTGCTTTGATCACTTTGTCTTACTTTACAGAACGTTTCTCTCCTTTACCTCTGAATACAACACTGCTCAGAACGAGTCCTATCAGTTCAACAAGGAGATTTTCTTTTGAATTGAAACTGAAAACATTTGAGGCTTGAGAGCATCTATTTACATTTTGCAAGGACCCCTGCTTTTAACGTTACTGGTCTAATGCTGCAGTGAGAATAAAAACACTTTCATCATGCATTCTCCATGCAAAACCTCAACACTTTCTTCTTATCAAAACTCAAGTTGCTAACTATACACACAGCCTGACGATAGTACAAATATACAGATCCCCCATAAACAAAATGCCACCACACACAGAGACTGAGGAGACTGTGTTCTCCAAAACCATTTACAGAGAGGGTATAATGGCATAGATTACTATGAACTAACACTGCACTTTATTGGCTGTGCTTATTCGGCTTTTCCTACTGTGGCCAAGGTCAGCATGCTGCAGCAGTTCTACTGGTTTCTATCTCATTCTGTGAGTAAAGCTAGGGATAAGTAGAGCAATTTCAAAATAAAGTTACAGTATAGAATACTCCACAGAATACTACTATGTGTGTTTTGAGAATACAACTGTGCAATAAAGCAACCTGTACATGACAGGCCAGTGTCTGAACAAAACAGCAGCACGCTGGAGAACATGGGGCAAGTCAAAGCCAATGGACACCTCCACTGGTCTCATCCATTTCTGAGAACCACAGTTTATCTCTGTGAAATTCTCAGTAACAATTAATTTTAATATGGATTGTGCCTTTTTTTTAACCTTTATGTATAATTCCACACCACATTTCTTCTGGAGAAACCTTCCTCATGGACTAAGCCGTGTCTGACTGGCTCATGTGCTATGAAGCATCAGTTCTGACTGGTCCATGTAACCTAGACGGCTTAAGTCTTATTGGCCGATCCAGAGGAACGTCGCAGCTTCATGGACATGCGGCTCTTGCTAGTCCGGGGAGACATGGGGGACGCCGAGTCGCTCCCGGCCTCCCCAAGAGCTGGACTTTCTCCCCGAAGAATGTCAAGGCACGAGCCTGAGGAGGAGCAGAGTGAGGTGAGGGGGCAAGTGAAGAGGGTGGATGGATGGAGGAGGGAGTGATAAAGGAGAGGAGGTAAGTCAGAGAAGAGGATGAAGGGATGACAAGAAAATTACATCACGCCCCATGGTGTTCTACTGAGCCAAAGAGTCCTATGGTGACAAAGACAGGACAACAGACAACACAGAACCTTTCTGTACTCATTTTGATTCTACATTGGGTTTTTTTTCTTTTCCAAAAAAAATAACCACTAGGCAAGTTTAAATACCATACACTAGGTTTTTGCTTAACTTTGTAATAAGAGAAATACAACATCACTAAACTTTTACTGCCCCCTTTTCCTCTGGGTTTGTGTTAATAAAAGCTATATTAATAAACTTGTCTTGACATTGCTAAATATAGATGGGTGACAAATGAAAGGAGTTGGGCCTAAAGATAATATTAAAATACAAAAGGCAGGAGACCTTTCTTTAAAGCATATAATTCATGGAGGACCTTCTGTTTGAGGCCTTTCCCCTTCACCTTGAGCAGGTTAAAACGGTCTAGTGGTTTAGGAACAATCAGATACATAGCACTGTGCTCCTCTGGAGAAAGGAGGAGAAAGGCAAGGCAAGGAAAGGACAGGACAAGGGAAGGGAGAAAAGGAAAAGAATGGAAAGAAAATAAGAAAATGGGGGAGAAGGTGGCCAGTATCAAAAAGAAAATGGAAGCAAGGAAATAATTAAAATGCCAGAAACAAGGCGAAATAAAAATACCAAGAAAGAGAGGGAAGGAAAATCAACAGGAAAGAGAGAAAAAGGAGGAGGCAGGACATTCAGGAAGGACGAAGGACGGTCAGAAAAAAAAAAAACAACAGAAAAATGAATAAAAAAAATACAAGAAGAAGTGGCCACAAACACAAAAAGCAACTACCCAATAGATTCAACACACAGAATGGAAAACAAGACTCATACATAGTGACGACTCATCATGGCATAAATACATTTATGCTTAACATTGCTTATCCCAGACACTATTATTTTAAATGTAAAAACTAATAACTAAAAACATGTGTAGACATGTGTTCTTACCCATTCTTAAGACTTTGTGTGCGTGTGTTTCTTACCCATTCTTAAGACTTTGTGTGTGCGTGTGTGCGTGCATTCAGTGTTACATCATTACAACCAGAAAGAGAGGAGCATCCAAAAGGTTAGAGGAAGGTTTCACCAGGTCAGTGTGACATTGCAGGTTAACAAAACAGCCAAAGTATTATTTGAGTGAACAGACAAAAGAGGAGACATCTCACACTGTCATAATAAGGACTTCTCACTTTCATCATGCCACTAGGTGCGGTTTGGTATGAGGCAGATATTAAAGAAACCATAGTCACTTTAACCAGGAAACCCAGCAGAATCGTCTGTAGTTGGTCTTTCAGCTCACTGGGCCTCATTCATTCTTAAGAACGATGATTCTGGCATTCACCAGTGCTTTGTTATTTTGAATTTGTTCCTAGGTAAGAACAGAGTCTACACATACTCAGGAGCACATCTGGTGCTGGAAACTAGTTCGTTTTCTTCACTTCTACAGTTGCATGAAATTCTAAGCTTTCAACTACAATAACTTTTGTCATTATTGATATATCTTTAATATTTTTCCCATTATTTTACAAAACATTATGGCCTTTCAAAACAAACACTACACTAAAAATTACAATAAGTAATTCATTGCCTGTATTTAAATCAATGTTTTAAATATTAACTTAACTTTTACAGTGTGATTATTTGTAGCTTAGAACTAGGAATCATCACTTAAAAACCAAACAGGTTTAAGTGGATATATACATTTCTAATTTCTGTAAATTTCTTTAAGTGCCTCGAGTATTTCGGCCAGTGTGTAAGTGTTTGGCTGTCCATCAGACTCTCGGCAGTTGAAGGGACCTGGGTGCAACTCATGGAAGTTCGCTCAGCTGACGACACACCCGAGAGAGCCGTGTATGGCCCCGATGTGCTGGTACAGCTCAGAAAACTGTGGGCCAGCCTGTCCTCCTCCACTGGTCAGCTTCTCTCTTCTGTGTTTGTTTTGATGCCGCAGATTTGAGATCAAACTATCTATTTACTTCATCAGTTGTGGGCCCTTCTCCTAATACAGTGAGTAGGTAAGAGCCCCCCATGCATCATCTTTGTTTTATTTTATATCCACCATTTAACACTACTACAAATGGCAGCTCATTCGTTCTTTTGTGGGCATTAGCGGGATGTTAACCATTGCTAAATAGGAACGACTGCCACGTGCTTTCAACATGCAATTTATCAATATAAGAACACAGGTGTGAACAATTCTGTGGTTTAAGAACACGTTCATGAATCAGTTGTAGACTTTTCTTAAGATCTTTCTCAAGAACAACATATGAAGAAATGTAAGAAAACGCTTAGGAAGATGTTGGTGAGTGAGACCCATTGTTTTGGTTTTTTGGTTCAATCTTACAGCTCTCATACGTGTTGTTTTCTGTGGTGACAAGAAGCTGTTTGCAAACAGCTATAGAAACACAATGTTCATTACCACTAGCTCTGGCACTGAATACAGACACGGTTAGGGACTAGCTGGTCAACATGGCAGCGCATTTAGCCACATGGGAATCGTCACACTTTGAAAAGGATTTGCATGTTGAAATTTGGCACGTGTTTTACGCCGGATGCCCTTCCTGACACAACCCTGAATGGAACGCAGGCTACAGAGGCGAGAGTGCTGGATCCTAGCCACTAGTCCATCAGGGACCCCACCACAACCAGAGCTAAACAAAGAGTGGATATCATACTTATATTCATCATGTGGACACAAAAACAGTTAATGCAGCTTTAAACTAATCATGGCCAAGAGAGACTCAGATCGAACTGTTCTTCTTTTTCTCAGTTGTCAATCGCTTTGTTCGGTACTCACTCTCTAAAAACACTCTGTGTGGGCCAGTTATCTCACGCTAAATGGCCATTAAGAAGACTGACTAAGCCAGGACATATACTGTGTTACCCAAATGGGAGGTGGACACAACTAACATTACAGTTCGTTTCATGATGAAACACGGCTCACTGTTGAACTCAAAGAAATAATAATAATAAAAAAACTCTTAATCTCATTACACACTATGTTAATGAGTCATACCAAACCACATGTACAGATGACATGAAAATGACACTTCCTTTTTAAATAGTAGATGAAGACTATTACCACATGCAGACCTGCTTGAATGGACAACACAGAGGAAGACATTTAGAAATAAACACAACATGTTGAAGGAAGTTAAGGAAAGCAAGGGTTATGCTGAAATGTCAGTAGGAAGTAGGAAGAGCCAATCAGAACAGAATTGTCAATCATGTGACCAGGCTTACCTTTTAACTATACACAAGTGAGACATTACGATCTAAAAGAGGGAGGAACAAAACCATAAAAGAAAGACGATAAGAAAAGAAACATGACACAAACAAGATAAAATGAAAAATCAGGCAAAGCAAATTAAACAGAAATAAACCAATAAATAATTTGGAAAAAATCAATTAACAAAATTGGTGAAATTAAAAGAAAAACAGAAAGAGAGAAGAAAGATTGATCATTTTACTGATATGGGGGGAGGGTGGAAGATGTGTAATTTGAGCAGGGTTTATTTCAGAACACAGGATTATTATACAGTACTATCCAGATTTAGTTAAAACACAGAACTTTAGACATGGTACACATTAGGACTAATAGAAGTACTGTAATGTGAAGCCACAAGAAGCCCTAATATATGTTTGGCCCTGTGTTCTGAAATGACATTTGGGGCTGATCAACACACAGTACTGACAATCCAATACACAGCAATGGCATTTATTTAAATGAACATTTGGAAAAAACATAAATGTATCAGGCTGTACTAATGTTATTCAGCCTCAAAGGAGGTTGATTATCGTTGTAAAATTATTATTTTTGACAACAGCTGGTGTGATGAGGAGCTACTGCACATACATACATAAACAAATATATATTTAGACAAACACAATCTCTGCTTAACAAGTAAAGAAAACCTCAGTTTTACGACTGCTTACATTAAATGACTGATATATATACAGGCACACAGCTGTGTATATGTAACCTCCTTATGAAAAACAAATGTGTAGCTTAGTTATGAAATCAAATTACTGTAAATAACTGTCATGTTAAATAATTCGATTAAGAGTAAGTCAAAGGACTGTATTTTTTAAATTATACTTAACTAGACACATTATAGACAAAACAGATCAGTATCCTACTAATAAATGAAGGATGGATACATGAGAGTCATAGATCTGACTACAACACCCATGTGCATGCCTGCCATCTTGACAGCTGATCAGATGTCAGCTAATTCCTCAGAGTTGCTTTGGATAGAGAACAGAATTCCTCAGACACAGAGCTCTGAATCTGACTGAGCTGCTGCTGTGTGTGGTTTCTCTGTAGTTGAAATGATGCTGGAGAGTAAGTGCTTTAAAATCTAGCAGGCTTATTTTTCCTCATATACTTCAAAAAGAAGGGCAATCAGCATAGTTAAGTGTCACTTAATTTACCTTTGCACTTTAAATTAAACTATTGTGGAGTACTTATCTATGCAAGTAAATCAACAACAAGCAGTTTCACCATGTTGCAGTGGCACCATTTCTCTGGTCTATCTGCTGGTGTGGTGTTTGTCTGCTTACTGGATGTGCCACAGAGTGAAAGGTCAGGTCTTACCTGTGTCAGAGGGCAGATGTGTGCAGGGAGCAGGACTGTAGACTCGAGCTGCATAATCCTCAAACGTGGTTGGCTCCTGGTGGTGCTGCATGATGTTTTCTAGGTATCTGGCTCGCTCCTCATAGCTGGGGTCAAAGGTCAAGGTCAAAGAGCAAGAGAGACATAATACTAGCAGAACAAAGAAGCAAAAAGATAGAAAACCAGTAGATGTGGTGGCAAACATTTTGACAAAGTATTAACCATCAAGCAATACAATGTGGCCAAAAATATATTCTGAAAAATGGGATTCTCCCCAATCAGCTTCCATCGTTGTTGCAATGGAAATGTCTTGATGAGGAGATAACCAGAAAACAGCAAAACCTGACAAAAAGTAAAAGAGGCACTCGATGATTTTCAACATGAAGGTCAGGTTGATGGTCCTGGTTACTCAACATGTGGAAACAATTGTCTAGTGTCCTCTGTAGATCTTAAAGGAGTTTTGTCAATGTTATCAGGGTTATCTCAGCTTGGGATTGGAAACAACAAGAAAGTCTGAGTTATAAACATTGATCTGGCTGTTGGTTAAGTTGTTTAGGCCTTTACAATTACCCCGTTCTCACACATCCAACATGCTGACAATGAGAACTGTTGGCTTAACATCTGATAAACCTTAACATGCATTGTTACAATATAATCGTCAATCACTTCATCTCTGAGTATTCATAATGTTTGGCTTGGAGTAGGAAGGGGATTTGTTTTCAGACCCTTTAAAGCTACATCTTCTGTCTCTGGTGAGTCCCTCAAATTTATGTAGTTGGAGTAACCCTGTGAAATACTGCAGAGCTAAAGTGTGGCTGACTAGAAAAGATAAAATAAATTGTATATTGTCACACAACTAAACTGAACACAGCAAAAAAAAAAAAAAGAAAAAAGAAACAGCAATAACAAGAACAGAAATAAAAAGAATTAAATGAGTTAACAGCTTTGTTCAAATAAAGAGTTTGCAACACAAACCAGTTAACTATATATACACTGTAATTCAGTATACCTTGCTTCCATGTGAATCCACTGAAAATCCTGTTGCCAAAAAAACAAAAACAAAGCAAACCAAAGCGCTTTTATCATTTGCTATTACAGCCTTTAGTGATGAAGTCAAAGAGAGCAGCACAGGGATTCAGCAGAGCGCAGAGTAAATGGAAACCAGGACTTCAACTGTCCATTTATTAGAGATAACCTCATTGATAGAATGACATTTACCCTCTCTTCCTTAGTCCCACTCATGCATCCAACCATAATGACAGCCATATGCAGCTGTTACAGTCTCACGAAGACACACACACACACACACACACACACACACACACACACACACACACACACAAACAACTCAGTCTCATCATCTCTCAATGATATTACCATTTGCTCATAGAGCTCCAATAACACAGGATTTTCTTTGTGTATTTGTTAAGGATGGTTGTGAAAAAGCACAATGTGTGTATGTAAGTGCACATGTCCCTATTTGAGTGTGTGATGGGATTAGGCCAATGAATCTTCAGAATGAAATCTTTGTGTTTGTACCTCAGTGTGTGTGTGTGTGTGTTATGTGAATGGGTCAGCCATCCGTAATAGTGCCCATGGGTTTTCTATTGGGTTAGAGAGCTGGTCTATGGGCCTCAGAAGGAGAAAGATTCAGGTCTAATGGTAACTGATCCAGTTAGAGACAACGATAATAACAACAATATGGCTTCTTTAAAGTGGAAAGACTGTGCTGGCAGAAAAGATGAGGAAGGAAGAGGCTGGGAGTGGGGGGGTTGGCAAAGCAGAGACAAAGAAACTTGACTAAACTTTCAAGAGATGGTCTAAAAACAGCATTTACTATTTCAAAAACATGTATCAAACCATTGCTTCAATCACACCGAAGAAAACAAGGAAATGAGGGGGAACTCAGCAGAGAGGAAATGATGTGGGGGAAGCAGGGCAGGAGGTTAGCGCTGCAATGAAAGTGAGATGCCAAGGGAGGAGGAGAACTTGTAAAAGTAAAGGGGGAAACAGCAAAAGTGATGAGGAAGAAGAGTGAGAATCCTGCAGCGAGTCACAGTCGAGGTGAGAGGGGAGGAGGATATTTAAGTAACAGCACAATGTGGTGTGCGCGTATCCGTCTCCCGGAGAGAGCTGAGAGAAGAGCAGTAGTCTTGTTGTGTGTCATGCCAGTGTCTCTCACACCAAATCTCAATGTGATTCCACTATTTGCCTTACTGCTCCCCTGCATCACACCTCCCCCTATGGTGTGTGTGTGTGTGTGTTTATACGTGTGTGATGGCAAGAGGTATGTGGACATAATGCAATTAGGAACAAGAAGTGTTCTATACTGCTGCAAACAACATATACTTGTATCATGTTTTAATTATGTGTGGCTGCATGAAGCAGAGAGAAAGAACACACAGCATCTGCTGGTTTTTTCAAAATCCACTGACATAAAAGGCCACAGTTTGATAATTTCTGAGGAGATGAAAAGGTCTGAAGGACACGTAGGAAAGAAAGAAGTCCACAGAGGAAGGAAAACTATGAGAGAGAACAAGGAGAAACACACACACAGACATGGTACCCCTGCTGAGATAAATGACAGGAACATCACTTTACTTTTCGACACTCATTGTGAGTGTGCCTTGCTTTATCTCTCCCCTGTTCGTCTTCTCAGCATGGCTTTCTGCCCATGGCCTTATGTCACTGTGTCACCAACACCAGATCCCCACCAACGACAGGCAGTAGGGATGGATGCAGTTTCATTTAAAACTTCAGCACTATCAACCTCAGACTTATGGTCTTAAAAAGGTTCTGCACATACACACGTTTTCATTAACCGCTGCTAATCGGACCTCTAGACAGGTTGCAGCTGGGTGGACAAATAATGCAAAACACTTAATGCATGTTTCTCTCCACTGCTGTTATATCTTTGATTTGCATGCTTCAAGTGTGTTGTGATTTTATTTATTTACTTATTTTTTTGCCAAGTCTCTTTCCACTGTACTTTGTCACCTTGGCCAAATAACTTATTTTGACATTTCTGCTCAGTTTTTATGCACAAATTTAAAATGCATTAAAAACAGGTGGCCTGAAAGACACTTTATGGTAATTATGTTAATCACACTGCCCTAGCAGGAAAAATGGAACAGGATTAGATTATCATTCTGTCATATCCAACAGAGGAAGAGTTGTACTATGGTGGTTTGAAGCATTGCATTTTGGGATAAATAGTAGAAAGTAGTGTACATTTTAATAGGGGATTAAGCTGCTCCTTCTATCCACCTATGTTTCTCTATATTGTAAACAGATTGCTGAGGCTGCTGGTAAAAACAAATTGCATCACTGTTTTGCATGAGGAGATTTTACAAAGAAACGCTAGCTCACGGTGCATTTTCAAAAAGAAATGAACCTTTTCGTAATCTAAATTTTATTTATGAATAATGTCACTTCTACATCTTTTATACTTTTTTTCATTGTTTAAGTTTTGCATTTAATGGTTAGTACACATTTTATTTCATTTATTTTACAATTTCCTTCTTGCCCTTGGAAACAGTAGCTGACTTTTAGTGGCTGGCTATTCTACAACATACGGTCACATCACATTTAATAGTTATTTACCGGCATTCC